ATCAGATTTACACAATGGTGACAGAAATGTTATGGTCGTTTCAGTACAGTACATTCCCTGCTCCATAATTTCAATGTGGAATAAACATATTTTGGCTTCAAAAATCTCTTATAAAAATGTGAAGTGTCTCTGTAAAATTTATATTGACTCTATCTACAATAAACAAAAATTACTTTTCTGTACTTGAAAATGTTCAAAAACAAAATGAAAAGAAAACTTTATTTTATAAAATAAGAATTGTTTGTCGAAATGAGATCTTCAGCTGTCTTTACACGGTTACATACCATATGAACTTTTCAGGTCAGCAGGCAGAATTTTTAAAAATATAATATTTTCTTTATGTAAAATTCTTTCATATTTTGAAAAGATAGTGCACGTGAACTGGGCACATAGTGGGCTGAAACCAATATTTGAATAATCATGTAAGCTCAGCTTTGAATTTTGCAACACCCCTTTGTTTCAAATTAAAATTTACACTATATTATTTATACAGAATAACAGACTTGAAATAATATATAAAGTACTTCACCACTATTATTAATAATAAACAGCTTAGGGTCCAGCTAAAATTAACAAAAGTCCGATCTGTCATTCAAACATCTACCTAGTTGTCAGTTAAAAAATAACCTGGCAGTGTATCCACTTGTTTTACTATTAAGTTATGAGAACAATAGCAATTATAGCACCGGAAGCAATGTCATGTCCTTGTAAAAGCATGCCTGCAAATGTAGGAAATCATTGTCAGGATACCCTTTCTATTGGCATCAGGATTTTGTGGTCAAGTATGAAACTTGGCATTAATCCGATTTCTTTTGACCGATTAAGCTTGACGACGTTACAGTTTTATTAAGTTAAACAACAGCTGGAGACATACTTACATTTGAGCATCTACCATCACCCTACCTTGATGTATTTGATCTCAATCTATCATAAACAGTATGGATGCTTATCCAGAAACTATAATGTTTTATTTTACTTAATTTTATTTTCATGATGAATGAACCAGAATGGCATGTGGGCTAAGTATACCTACACGTTGATTTTAATTGATTGGTTTTGTCGCTTTTTAATTTTGTAAATTTGTGGATTTAGAAAGATACGTGCCCGTCTCTAACTGACAAGAGGTGAAAACTTATATAATAATTTGAAGGTATTATTTCGACTCATTCAGGGAAGTGAACCTATAAACCAAAACAAGCGCTGAACTCTCTAATCAACCACAGGCAAAACGTGAGATTTTAATTATTGTCTTCCATCTTTTCTGATAATTACCAAACCCTCTTCACATTCCTGTCAAATCGTCTAATTATTCTGTAACTTGTAAACTTTGTGGTAATTGGTCATTGAACTGAGTTGGTGGTCAACGCCAGAAGTAAATAGTTAAAAGCTAAATCTGTTACCAATATACATATTAATATATGTCAAGTTAACTTGGATAACAATGTAAGTGGACATAATGGGTTAGTATTACAGGTGATTGTGGTTTAATCACATTATAATGATATCGGTGTTACTTTTAACAGGATGGGCAATCTGACTAAGACATTGAAGGGCAAAGAGCATAATGCGTTATCAAAGTGAGTATCTCTTGGACATATTCTGAGAGAGAGATTGTACTCTTTATTTCCTGGGCAATTACACATTTAGAATATTTGGTTGGATCGTTTGTAATTTCCACCGCTTTGATAATCATGATTAAAATACAGAAAAAACCATCTTGAAAATATATCTTGACCTTTAACATTTAGTTTGATGGGAAAATTTAGTGAATTCTTCACCACAAAAATGGTGTAATATTACCAATTACATCGGTATCATTCGCCTTGCACTTTCTTCCTTAGTTACCTGTCCGGCATTCTACACCATCTTAACACCTGATAAAGGTCGAATTAGATTTCTTATGGTGTCCACTGGAGACAAATTTCAACCGTCGTCATATATTCAGATTTATTGCTGATGTTTCAGTTATCGTTCATTACTGATTTAAATTATTTGCTGATTGGTCGAGATACGAAGCCGTCATTTTGATATGGTTCCAATCACAGACCCGTGAACAAATAAATGTTTCTCATCGTCCGAGGAAATACTTCGCTTCCAAATATCCTTTTCTCTTAACCCAGAATTTGCTTCCTGACAATACCTGACTCAACAAAAATCATATTTAAATTTTCATCTACTCACTCAGGTACAAAGTAGTACGTGAGTTGATAATGAAATCTAGCACCGTTTGAATATTTCTAATCATTTAAAAATCCAAAACAGCAGTGGGTTACTTTTTTAGAACGATTAGCAAAGTTCAAAATTGATTTGTATTGTAAATTTCGATTACATGCTATACCTCTTGTTGAATTATGTTTGGGTGAAATCAGTCATTTATACCAATTAACTTTTGAACAAGTTTAATTTAAAGTAACCTACTAAATATTCTACTAAAATTCAAATTAAACTTTCTGTAATATTGGTGTAAGGCAAGGATGTCATATTAAACCTAACTATTTGATTGTTTTCAAGTCGTACACGCTTAAAAAGCTTATCTATTACTTGTCAAACAAAACCTTTGGGAAAAATCACCACCAAACTTGAAGATGTTGTAAAAACATCCCAAGCCAATATATCCAACAAAATGAATCCATGTTGGAAAAGAATGTGGGCAATTTAATTAGAAGTTGAATATCAAAAAGCTCAAGACAAAGCCAAGAGGAAGAAAAACAAATAGACTCAAGACAACACGAGTTTGTTTTTGGTGAAGAAAATACACAAAGGTTGATTTGACGACATGTGCCAGAGAAGCAACTCCCCTCATTACATTGTCAATAAAAGGCAAATTGCGACAAGTTACCTGGTATATATTTAAACGACAGTCGCCGTGCTGGTTGTCTTCTTGGTTTCTGGAGATCATTCAATAGCAGACTTCATCATGATGTCCTATCTCTCAGGTAGAGTTTCTCAACTTTTATTGAAATTTTTAAAACTTTTATCCTATTTAATATTACTTCTGTTGTTAATTAATTATATTTCTTTTGACTTTATTCAAGGTAACTTTTTCTGTATCTTTATCAACTACTTCATTTATCTTATATTGCCATAATATATTTTTCCTCAGGTAACTTCAGTTTTTCTGTGTATCTGCATTTCATATATTAACCAATTCTATCTGAACAGGTCAGAACAAATATAAAATTTCAAATGTTAACTTCTTACACTAGAATAAATCCTAAATTTTAATACAAAACAATGGAATAATATCTTCATAAAAGATATTTGTTACTATGGACATATACAGGAGTAAGATGTAACTATAATCTTCCTGCAATCATATGATCCTAAATCATTTTCATTACCTTATTGGTATAAGAACATCAAAATATGCTAAAAAAAACTTGGGCTCTTTTTGTCACCATAATTGTGTAAATAGGTAAAGAAGGATTTTTAGCACATTGTACACGCTTTTGACAATTCGAAAGATATATCCATTTTTTGATTGTGTAGGTATTCAAGATTTTTTTTTTAAATAAAACATTTGACTTTAAATTATACTAAGTAATATATTATTTTATCAGCTGGTAAAGCCTAGACAAAAATAGAAGATGTTTGTTTGAAGATTCAGAGCTTAATTTCAAAACAAAATATTGATAACAAATAGAACTGTCGATTTTGTGTCAATACAAAGAAAGATAAACTTGACGAAGTCAATGACAAACAAATTATGTAAATATTCTTACGGACATGTGAACAAAAATATTTGCAATTTATTAACAAATGATATTCCATTCAAAATAATCATAACCATTATATAAACCAAAGAAGAATACTAGAAATAAGAGCGGTGTAAATTTACAGCACTTCATAAGTTACTTTCAAAACATAATATCGGCAATTTGAATTTGACTCTAATCCTCTGTAAAATTTGTCCATTCGACGACACTTTCGCATGCTATTGCATGAATAATTTACAATGCAAGGTGATTTCAAATACAACCGAAATGATTAAGATTTTATACAAAGGTTGGTGAATTTTAATGTATCAAAGGAGACAAAATCTAAAGGGAACTTTCTATTTTTTTTTTTTTCATTTCATTGCATGATTAATAAATGGTGTAGGGTTAACTAAAATATCAATTATATTATGCTAACTATTCTTAAAAGTTAGTTAGATTGTCTTTATCTATTCTTCTGACTAACAACATAATATAGGTAAGTTGCAATTTTGTTATTGGAAACGGAAGATGTGTTTAGGTTCAAATGGACACTTTACGTTGTCCAGAGCATTGTGACGGTGCTGAAGTATCAATTCAGTAGAAAACAGAAGAATTTAATCGTGCAGGATAACACACGGCCCCGAATACTGTGTAGTCGTTCCTTCTGTTTTCTACACTACGCATATGTAGATATGTTTTATTAACATAAAGAGAGTGTGGTGTGATATGTGTTATGCATGACTTGGCAGTAAGAAGGTGATAATGTTGGTGATATTGAAATTACATGTATGATATTTATGATGTGAAACCGTAACAAAACGAAAAAGTAAAAGATGTGTCTTAATCAACTAGAGTGTGAGACAAAAAAGCAAATTCCCCTAATGGAATACTAAAATTAAATTAATCGAGATTCTGAATTGTTTCATAGATATACATTTTTGAAGCATAGAAATTCATTCGCATAAATTTAATTTTCATTATTTCAGTTTTGGTGGCCTTGGCTGTAGTTTGCACAGCAAGTAAGTCATCTTATGTTTTTAAATAAAAATGCAGTATTCTAGACTAACTCTAGAAGAATATAGTTTGTTGTTGATTGGTTTCTTCTGGTACTATAATATTTAACTCAACTCCGAACATGCATATTCAATAAATCACCAAAAGCGATCGTCCAACATTTTTGTCAAACGCTCTTCGAGTAATGCATAACTAAAGAAAGAATATCATATCAAATGCAATGAAATTATTATAATTCTAGGCGCTGGATCCTATTCACCATACTTCCCATGTCCAACATTATTTGATTATTATCCTCATCCTTCAAACTGTGCTGTATTTTATCGATGTTTCTGGGGTTCCGCATATGAATTCAACTGCCCAGCTGGTACTTACTGGAGTCAAAGATTAAGAACCTGTGACCATGCTTACAATAACCCATGTGTTTATAACTATGGAGCAAGCAGTACAGTTGTAGATTCCAGAACCACAGTCCATTCTGATGGTGGTTATGTTCCTGCTGCAGCACCTGTTGTTACTGATACAGCTGTTGTTAATGATGGTTATGGATATGCTGCTGGTTACCAAGATCCTAATGCTTATTGGCCCGCTTTAGGTTATAATCCAAACTGGTCCAATGATGCTCATCAAGACAGCTGGGCTGCCCAAGGAGGTTACAGAAGTTATTCACCTTGGTTTCAACGATTAACTCATGGAAAGAAGAAGTAAATTAGTCAATGGTTCATTTTCTTTAAATTAATTACTTTTCATTTTTTCGTTTCTATTATCAGAATATATTAAATTTCAGATGAACAATTAAGTCAATGTCACAGGTCACAAATTTATTGTGACATTAGCAATTACTGTTTAAATTATTTGCCAATTTTAGTTTTCACCCAAGCTACGAAACTTCATTATAATATGATAAATGTGATAGTGTCTGGACTTTTTTTTATTCCAATTGAATTGTAAGGAACTGTTGTTACGATATTTTCAAGCATAATATAATTGTACTTTATGTATATTGTGCACATTTCTTTGTTCTATATCTTCTGTGTATGATTTTTAATGAAAAAGGCTGGGTTTATTTCTTCAGATTTGTGTTCGTTTATTTCAATATGAAAGTCTACATTAGAAATATATCAGATAAAACCAGTCGCCGTGATAACCATAAAGAAATTATTTTATTGTATTAAACCACAAAATAAAGTGACTCACAAAGTTACATCAAAATATATCAATCGAAAACCTTCAGTTCGATTGGTTGTCCAGAAGTTAAATATAACCTTTAAAGCATCAAAACCATAGTCTCTTTCGTTTTGCTCACATAAGGGTGATAACTTGCGCCTCGTCTTGAAAACCTCACCAATATATCGGTTGACCAAAATTCGAACAAACTGGTATTTTGTTGTGCTAATATTGCGTTCAGAAGTCAATTTCAGAAGGACTAAAAATTTAAAGATTAAATTTAACTTTCGAATGTCACAATTTAATGTATCAAAATGATACAGTTCTGTAAGTTCAGACTAAACAACAAAAATATCAAGGAAAAAAATCCCGAAAGAAAGTGTTTTATCTGACTTTTAAACCGGCAAGAACCCATTTGGAAAAAAAAAACAATAAATCATAATGAAATAAGGGGTGCAACTCGAGCATTGACGACTCAGTCACTTCACCAACCAGTGAGCTAGACATAATATTCGTAACTTAAGCCTGTAACATCGTCTTACGTGCAAACTACCGTACAAGGAAACCAAAAGCCGCATGATGTGTCTGAATGAGACGATGGCTGGGATAAACCAACGTGTTGTCAAATTGATCATAATTCCATAACGATCCCAGAGATGTTATGACTCTGGCAAAGGGGAGCAACTCGTATCTACTAACGTGATCAATTTAGGTCGGCGACCAGTGAGCTAGCTTTAACATTTGATATATGTTTTCTGGAGATACATTTTAAAGACTTACGAGTTAGAATTAGATAATTCCATGAATTATGCATTAAAGCGGCAAATGAAATGACGTCACTAGAAGTGAGAAAATACCAAGGCCATCGTATCTGTAGAAACTCAAAGCGATGCAAGTGAATGGGGAGGAATTGCACCTATAAACCACGTGATATGTGGAACCATCATCTACAATCAGGTATGAAATTTTGAACTGCACTTGTCACCAATTACAATTGTCAGGCTCCAAAGCCAACTGATAATTGACAAGGGATCATTACAGTTGATTTTATTGCACTATTGTATTGCAATAAGTCACAGTTAAAATTGTTTAATATAATAGAATAAAAATATAACAATTTAGTTTCAGACTTAACTTAAGTGTACATACATGGGTATAATATGGAATTAACAACCAACCTAATAAAAATATATAAACAATCTTCAATTTAAAAAAAACAACTCTATATAACAGGCATTTTAATATAGGTAATCTATCCCTCAAAGATCAGGTAAAACAAAACTTCGTCTATATATTCGAAAAATGTACTTTAAATGTAATTTACATAGATTTGAGCATGGGTTCCAAAAAATTCTGCTAACCAGTTGATCATTGACCAAACTTGTGTGCATTGGATTTTCCCTGTATATTTGTACATTTTCATCTAGTGTGTTCACCAATAATTACAATGGTAAGAAGAACAAACCGCAAATTACGCAATTGTCAAAATTCCAATGCATTAATTGTTTGAGCTATAGATTATCTGTATTGAGAAAATATGGGAATCTAACTTGTAAAACTGATTTGCCAGGTAAATTACACTTGAATGTAAATTTTTGAAATAGACAAAGATAAATATAACTGTCACAAACATCCTCTTCTTGCATAATGTCTATTGAGTAGTATGTCAAGGATTTCAGAGAATATTCAAGTCGATTATTAAACATATACTGCAGATAAAATTGTTTGCATTTTATAATCCTATATATGATGATCAATTAATGAAACATAGATAATATAACTGAGCAGAAACAATATTGTGCATTAATAATTACAATATCTGCTCTTGGACACATTTCTATCCCATTACAAATATTCCTATTTGAAATTTGCTCCTGCACATATAGTATAATGATATATATTATACACTACCAAAAAAAGCTGCCATTTAAGTCTAGATATGTCCAACCCAGAATAAGATGAACACAAACTTTTTTAGTCAATTTTTGCGCAATTCTATTAAGGCTGGTTCCTCTGTCCACTATTACAGAATTTAGTCAACCATCAAATATTTTGATAATCTAGTTCATGCTAGCTAACTTACACTGTAACGTATAATGCACTGTCTTAGAAGTCAATCTGAAAGACAACATAAATAACTATTCAATCAAATTAAATGTTCTTACACATGTTTCTTTTCTACTCTTGATCGGAATTATAAATGAAATGTTAAATTTTCCAATATGCACAGCCAGCTGGACCTTGGTCCAATCCAAATGATTCAATAAGTTAATGTCAGATGCAACCGACCATTGATCTATAAAAATTCTAAATATAAAAGATGGGATATCAATAGATATGGAAAGGAGTATGCAGAAATCTTAAATATAACATAAAATTTTTTCAAATAATGAAAAAATATATGAATATTTGTACTTACTTTGAATATGTGTTATCAAAAATCAATGTATAAATTCCTGATTGTTTAGCTAATAATTCTCCTTCTACAGATTGGATATGTGAATTACATTTACATGGTTCAACTAAGATATCACAGTCACCTAGAGGTGAAGGCTCATTGGCTGTATATTTTACACTGAACACTATATCCTGAAAATATTCATATATATTTATTGATTATAATAATCTCAAGTATTTACACTATGTATAAAACCTACATTTTTTCAGTCAGCACTAGCTGATATCTCTTTAAGAAGATTTGTAATAATCTTTGTAAGACATATAAAAGTAGGAAGGTTAACACAAAAAACACAAGATATAATACTACTGGATTTATTACATACTACGTTTCAAAACACATACAGGTAACGTTATCAAGTAAAATGAGATACATTTATAATGCCTGAAAAAAGTCACCACCTTAAACAAATGTAATAATAGTATAAATAGTAATAATTAGAATTATAAAGTAGTGATTAAAAGGTATACCTTTGGTTTGGATGTAAATTGCCAATATAAAGTGGTATTTGGTGTATCAATTTTTACTGGTAATAAATATTTTTTACCAGGTTTTACTGTGGTTTCATTCTGACTGTTAACCTCTTCTCTTATTAAATCTTCAGCTGACAATAATACACTACTAGTCTCTTTACTGTAATATATAATATTATAATTAATAAAGCTGACTATAATACACTACTAGTCTCTTTACTATAATATATAATATTATAATTAATATAGCTGACTATAATACACTACTAGTCTCTTTACTGTAATATATAATATTATAATTAATATAGCTGACTATAATATGCTACTTGTCTCTTTACTGTAATATATAATATTTTAATTAATATAGCTGACTATAATACGCTACTTGTCTCTTTACTGTAATATATAATATTATAATTAATATAGCTGACTATAATATTCTACTTGTCTCTTTACTGTAATATATAAAATTATAATTAATATAGCTGACTATAATACGCTACTTGTCTCTTTACTGTAATATATAATATTATAATTAATATAGCTGACTATAATATGCTACTTGTCTCTTTTCTGTAATATATAATATTATAATTAATATAGCTGACTATAATATGCTACTTGTCTCTTTACTGTAATATATAATATCATAATTAATATAGCTGACTATAATATGCTACTTGTCTCTTTACTGTAATATATAATATTTTAATTAATATAGCTGACTATAATATGCTACTTGTCTCTTTTCTGTAATATATAAAATTATAATTAATATAGCTGACTATAATACAATTATAATTAATATAGCTGACTATAACACGCTACTAGTCTCTTTACTGTAATATATAATATTATAATTAATATAGCTGACTATAATACACTACTTGTCTCTTTACTGAAATTATAATATAACCTTATTTAAAAGGCTGACTATAATACACTTTCTACTCATGATGGCTTATATAAAAAAAAATATTTCAATTATTAACATTTGTTATTTCAAAGTAGTTACTAACCTTGGATCTTCAACAATACTGGAGGACATTAAATCAGCTTGTGTTATACTGACAGATCTTGATATCTCTTCAGTAGTTATTACATGAAACTGATCTGCTTTATCTTCACCATGTCCCCCAATACATTTTGGACTTGAAGTTGCTCTGAAAAATATGCAATATATAATTGATCTACAAACTATATATGTAATCTGACAAAAATCAACTATTTTCTTTTCCTGCTGATAAAAATTGAGGGAAGAAAGAGGTAAATACTTACTGAAGACTTCCAGGCATACTTCCATCATCATCACCCTCATATTCATGTCTAAGTGAACTGTCTATTGATAATCTTGGTGAACACTCTTCTCCTAAAAATATCAGTAAAATGATTGCTTCAAGTGGTTATTTTTTTATTTCATTATAGTCTTTTCCATTTAATAAACACCTAAATGGATTTTGTGGAAATTGAGTTTGATGGACTGGTTGACTAGCTACGACATTCAATGGACCATAAATAAACTCTCTTAAGAAATGCAGACTAATCTGGCTAGTGAAGCCTTACAGCAAGCAATTCAATTCTTATATACCATTGTTTCAAGGCTTTAGAATTGTGCAATGAGGGAATTTTGCCAGGACAGCTGCATTACCTTACTACTGTGTTCCAACTATTGCGGGATACAAGCATAGCCTGTAGCACTTTTCCAATCACTTACAAAGGGAAAGTGGATTAAAAAATATGAAGTTTTGATATCAACTTATGCCATGATTAAGCTCTGTACCTTCAAATTAGCACTGAGTCACTGTGACTCCCAGAATTCCAAGAATGGAGGTTATCATTACTAGGATATTAGAAGGAGAATAAACTGTACCTGTATGATCATGTGATGATGAAGATTCACTATGTAATGGTATAGATTTAATTAATTCATTCTCTTCCTCACTATCTAATGAATTATTTGATAATACAGAGGAATTTAATGACTGCTCTTCTAACATCTCATGTCTTTTAAAACAACTATTACATACTCTCTCTTTCTTACTAAAAATCACAAATAAATATCATTAGCAATGTTTTCTTTATAATGAACCAAACTTGTTGAAACAAACTCTTGTATGGTCATTTTCTTTACAGTTAACAAGACAAAACAAACTTTTTACTCTCCATCATGCCAAAAGTTTCAACCAAGTTTCTGAATTTAAAAATGACAAAAAACTTCTAAAGAAACCATTCAGAGCAACAGAAATTTAGTTATGGACAGAAATTAAGAGAATTTGATAAACTTGCCTACTGCCTGGTGTCATCATCCAATTATTAGCACAATTATAACAAAATATTTTACCACATAGTCTACAATGATGCTGAAAAGGAAATTATCATAATTAGATTAGCATGTATACAGAGTGGCTTATTTCAGAGTAAGAAAAATATTATATTAATCAAGGTTGTTGACAAATACCTCCATGGGGATGCTGTTTGAAATAATATTAATATGATATTTGAGCTAATAAAATCTTTAAGTACCTTTCTAAGGAAGAGTGAGAATTCAGATTTACATGCTAAACATTGAGTAACAGTACTACTATCCATCCACACTTCACCAGCTTGTTGTCTCTGTTCAAATGTTAGTTGATCTGCCATTTGCCACAATACATCTTTATCTCTATAATACAACACATTATTTTGACTGACTGATAATGATACTCTTATCAGGAGACTAATAACTGACAGAGCAAGATATTCTAAGTTTCATGAATAAGTTCATATAATTTACAAAACAGAGCTAAAAATGACTAAAGGCAGGGCTTGTGTTAAAATCATGTGACAACATTAATACCTGATAAGGGGAAACACAGGGGAAATATGTTATAGTTTCAGATATGTTGAAGAGATTATGATCATTTAAATACATTGTGGTAAAATTCTGATAGAATTATTGGCATTGTTTGTTATATAATCTTATTTTATTAGCAAAAAGCTTTTATATACACTCACTTTATCAGTTTAACTAAACGTTTCTTCATTGCTTTATTATCTGACTTAAGAGATCTTATAATATCATCTTTTTCTGTAGAACCTTTATACACAGTTGTACTCAAAGCATCAAGTTCACCCTAAAATAATAATGAATTAAAATCTTGTTGTCAAAATCCCAAGTATATAAGATTGAAAAGGAGTGTTAAGTCCTACTGTCTTGCTCCTAATAATGTAGTGCACAATGGGATAAAATTTTTCCAAAACAACAACATCAATTTGAAAACTAGAAACAATATTACCTGTAACTGAAATCTTTCAACCCGTTCCTGTTCCAACTGATCTTCGGTCTGAAAAAATATGAATAACAAACTTTAGGTTTATATCCACCTGTTCTAAACCTTTGTTGTCCTTCATGAAAATGCTAATTGGTAAAAATACTTATTTATTGTGTCAGTTATAGAAAAGAAATACCTACCAATGTAGTTTTTTGATTAGCTAAATCTAATTCTTCACCTTTCTTTTGTAATTCTTTTTTAATCATTTCAACCTAGAATATTCATTACACACATAGACACATTAAAACTCATTGAAAAATCAAACAAAATTGTACTGAAGTTTGCAGATAATCAATTGATATCTAAATAATTCAATTAAAAAACCCTGTAAATACTAATAAAAAAAATTCTTTTGCATCATAGAAGTATATTCTTGCCTGGATCGTTCATCATAGTTGATTTGGGTATCATGTGCTGAAGGTAACATAATGTGGAAGAAATTACTACATGTTAACGAGTAAAATGAAAATTGAAAATCTATAATTGAAATTATAAATTCCTGGAGATGATTATCGATTATATCCATTTCACCCAGCCCTAGTAATGATGACTGATATCTGATTCAAATAAATCAAACTACATCTATGTACCGGTTCTATACCCTTGCAAAATGATCAAAACTCCTGTTAATTTTCATTTAAAGTTTATTTTGCTTCTACTGTGTGAAATGGTTATAATATACCTGACTATCTCTATGTGACACCTCTTCTTGTGTATTTGATTTCAGTTCATTTAATTGTTGAACTAAACTTTCTAGCAGTTTCTCTTGTTCCTTAACC